GCCAGATGTTATCGACCCACCAAGGTTTCAAACTAAAAAAGTTGCAGGTTTGAAGTTAGATCACAATAATATTTGAATGCATAAATAAATTAATAATGTCTTCTGACAAATTTTTGTACACTAATATACAAGGAAAGATTTGATTGTTTGTACGAGTATTAAAATAATAGGCTCTGAAATCTCTGCACCGAAAATTCTTTCACCATTTAAATTCTACATTAATTCTAATAAACATAGGCGGTACGAAGTAAAATCTAAAGCCTTATTAAAGGGATGCATGTAGTCAAAGTTTTTGCAAGTGAAATTGCTAGCTGTAACTAGTAACAAGCTCGCAATAAAAAACCTAGTAATACTCGTAATACTATTAACGTATAGGTTCCAAATATCAAATGACCGTTTTGAGTGACTCACGTGATACTATGACGTACACACGCAAAGGTGAGGTACCAGTAGTACCAATACGCACTCGAGATAGGTGAAAAAAACTTGAATATCAACGTAGCCAGAGAATCTCTTGGTAGCTTAAGTGGATCCCCATGGCTCTGTTTTCTGTATAATATATGTCTGTTGTAAGTGTAAGAAATTAATTTAACTATTTTAATTTATTTCGTTCATCGATCGCTCTACGATCTTCCTCCTTCCAAAAGCAACCCAGGGAGTTTGAGTTGAAAGGGGAAGGCGGTGATTCAAAATCAAAAATATCTTTATTTGTACAGACTAATTTTATTATTATTAGTTCTTACTTGTGTGCGCACTGAGAGCCCAACCCGACTAAACTAATGGCCAACTCAAAATCGGTGGTCTGCGCTTAGGCTTCTTAAAGAGCCTTTACATAATATTACGTCATTATTTTTATTTGCCCTGCCAGCGCTTGAAAAAAAAAACTAAGTAGGTACTAACTTTTCAAACCCATGAAAATATTTCCAAGCTGATCAAATATGTTTTTTTCATGTTGAACCATCCAAAGTTCCGCGGTACAGACCTCACCTTGACCCGGTAACCCGACTGAACATCTTACAAGGGTTTTACTTACTTATGTATGTAATATTATTGTATGTAGGATTGTAGGTATATCTGTAGATAGATAGATAGATTTATAGACTTTAACAATAGTAAACTTCGAAATTAAATAGAAGAGAGCAACAATGAAAAGCCGTATTGCGTTTTTTCGAAAGTCTGACGTCTTTCTTTTATTTTTTAATTTATTTTTAAATCCTGTCCTTGACACTCAAAAGACGCGGTTATTTCCTATTTCGAAATTAGGAAAATCCATCCAAGTTCGAAGATTAAATTACAAAATATCTAGGAATATTACTAATTAACTAACATCTTACTTGTAATAGATGAGATTTTAACCACCAAAATGTATAGTGCAAATAATACTGTGGGCTGAGAATTTTACTGAAAATTTTAGTATTTGAACGTTTCCCGCTAGGGCTGTACAATCCGTCATACATTTACTAATTAAATTAGATTTTTTGACGCGCTCACTAGTGAGCGCGTTTGATATAAACTCACACTAGGCATTCTGAGCACATTTTTTCTTAAGAGCGTTGTCACATTTTTCATGCAGAAATCGAGAATTTGGCAGATTTCGAAATGATTTTAGTCATATAATTTATTGTTATAGCTTCTTTTGACTTATATCATCGTAGTTATCATACGTTTTTACGGAATGTCTATTGACAAAATCTCGTTCAAATTGGATTTTTGCCTACGAAAACAGCGAATTTCGAAAGCCCGATTTCCAGGTAACTCGCGAAGGCACAACTTTGAACTAATATTACAACAAATTTATTTAAACTTATTACTTTACTCAATTTAAAGATTAAAAAGTTGTCGCGGGATTTACTTGTGTAAAAAATACATTAATTACGTAACTTGATTTTGCTAAAAGTCTGATCTGAGAAAAAATCAAATAGGTAAATTATACATTATTTCTTTATTATTATGTATGATGTACTGTCTTACGATACAACTACGGATTAAGATCGTTTAGTCGACGCAGCGTTGAAATTGTACAGATAAATGCAGTTTGCGCACTCACCACGCAACGTCAAGCAATAAAAACCTAAAATTCGAACCCCAACTTTTTGCTACAACGCTCTTAAACAAAATTATACCAACTGAATTGAGTACCTCGTCCATTTGTTGAAGTCGGTTTATAAAATAGGTGCGAGTTATTGCAGGTTTTTCCTCACACACTAAAGATGGTTAATCCACAACTTTTTAAAATATTATAGGATGGTATACGTTTTTAATATGGAATTTTTATTTACGTCGAATCATAAAGTAGATTCAACGAACTAGTTTCCATTAGTCGGGTTTATCATAAAACAGTTTTTGTATCATATGTATAGATATCAAATCCAGGTTATTTATTGTTTCTGTATAATAAAAGGAAAATCATTATGTTCACTTGAACTAGAATTCGTTTGAGACTGTGACCTTCTCTACATTTTGCTTTAATAGTGATTTAGTACGTTTCTTTTTTACAATCTTTTTTGGAATTTTTGATTTTTGTCTGTGCCAAAAAAAAATTTAAATATGTAAATAACGGTCCTGACTTTTTTAGATTTACGATTTAAAGCGGAAAATCATCTCAAATCAAACCCTTCTTCTGGCGCAGTAGGGTAAAATTGGAAATAATATAATATAAATAAAACCGTTAAAGCTTCCTAGTCTTATATTAATAAATATAATACCTGAGTGTACATTATCTATAACAATTACAAAATAATAAGCAGTTGTGTAAGCGTTGGAAAGGCGCGAAGAGTCGCAAAGTCTGCCGTCTGCTCCACAGATTGCGAAACGTCCATTGCGATGACAATCGATTTATAAACAGGACCGTATAATGAGATTTTATTATTGCATATTTTTACTAATCGTATTTTATTTTCAAATCTTTTAAACATTTTTTCACGGTAGGTAAGTACTAAAAATCATTTTTCGTTTTTTTTTCATTTTTTTATCAATGTAATACAGTAGTTTAACAATAATAATTATGCAATAATTGAATGTATTATAAATTTAAGAATGACTAGCTTTCCGCCCGCGGCTTCGCCTGCGTATTTTGTCTGTCACAGAAAAACTATATCGCGCGCGTTCCTTATTCAAAAACCGGGATAAAAACTATCCTATGTCCTTTCCCGGGGCTCAAACTATCTCTATGTCAAATTTCATCAAAATCGGTTCAGTGGTTTAGGCGTGAAAGCGAGACAGACAGACAGAGTTACTTTCGCATTTACAATTATTAGTATAGAAGTATAGATAATACAATGACAAGGGATTTGAATTTGATGAATTTTATTCATCGTTTTAATATTCTAGTCCGTGTAGTTAGATATTAAAACTATTATATCCCAGTAGCTCATGCCGCTCGATTAACATATTATTATAGCACTTACGCCCGTATTCACAAACATTACTATGAGGTCTCACAGTGCGCGTGGACGCACAGGGTGACACACGAACCAATCACAGAACTCTATTGAACGCTGTGCGTTCGATTTGCTGCTACACTTAAGCAAGAATCATTTGTGAATACAGATGTTAGCCTTTAATATCCAACTGGAAAGATCCGACCTCTTCAATAGAGAAATATTTTTTGAAATTAAAGCACTGGTCACAGAGATCAAACTCTACCTATTAAATACATAAAAACATTTAAAACAACTATAAAAGTCCGCTCTTTTGTCTTTATGATATTAGTTTGTGCCTTGTACGGGCTTGTACTAAATTGTGTATTATTTTAATTATATTATAAAGAAATAAACAGTAACTATAATAATGTGAAAATTCCCCAATACTTACAAACAAATTGTAAAATTAAGACAATTTAAAAAAAATATTTGTGGTTTGATATTCCATTTGTTAACCGCTAATTATAAATAAGTATTCACGATGATAATGATTATTTGTCGACTTGTATTTATAAAATAATCTCCTTTGTTATCTGGACAAACAAATTAACAAATTATTGATGGGTTTTAGAAATTCCTGAAACACGAGGAAAATATTATTCAAATTGTTATTTAACGCGAATGGTATATTTGTGCGGCAAGATGGCCGACCTCCATAGAGGTCGATACCTCGTGACGCGGTGTGACCAACTCGCCAAAACTATACTTAACTCGACGGCAAACGTCTTTTTAATATATATTTTTTTATTATTTTAATAGTTTAATTTTGTGGGATATTTCGTTATACATATATTTAAAATATTATCTCAAAATTAATAAATTGAGAAACAATTATTCTGATTTCATAAATATTTTATCTAAATATGTAAAATAATATGTGGATAATAGTATAATATAAAAAAATATTATTTATTTGTAAAATTAATATTTTTACAGCAATATTTATAATTATGAGGTAATAATAAAGCATATTATGGACGCCGGACGGTAAAATATAACAATGCAGCATAAATATTTTTTTGAAAATGTTAATATAATTATGTAAATACCTATTTTAATAGAATATTCATAATAATTATGAAGTAAGAATATGGCAAAGAATATACACGCAAAAATATAACAATAGCATTGAATAATTTCCAGAAAATGTTAAACTAATATAGCAACAGTAGGTATCTACATTAAAAGACAATAGGAATAGGTAGGTATTCGTTATACAACGACCGACTTCATAGCTGCTTGTAATTATTTTTTAATTACCGTGAATTCTGGGTAAATTAGTTTTGTAAAAATTGATAGTAAGCATTTTGTAACGATAAAGAAATACACGAGAAAAAAATTGTTTTATAATAAATATCTTACACAATAACACAAAACCATTCCCACGAAGTACTTTAAACGGTTACAATTTAATAATAAATGACTGTATTTGTAGTTTTATAAATAACCGGCTCGACTACATGACTGTCCTTCAAATATCACAAATAACTTGGAGCTAACCAATCTACCTTTCCTATTAAAGTAACTTTAACGATAGCTAAATTATTATTATTACAATAATTTTATTATTATACACACCCATTGTTGTCTCCAGATTTCTAATTATTCATCAGCACAAACAAAACTCCGCCTTGAATCACTCGAATCCGTGTCGTTATCACAAAGTCAAACTTATTTTCGCTTATTTTGTGTCGTCAAACAAAAGATATCTGTCCGACATAAATTTTGTAATAGCACTGACTAGTTTGTAGTTTCCCTTTAAAAATCAAAGACACGATTTATATTTATTTTCACAGAATGACGCGGCGCCACCGTCTATGCGCGCACTAAAATTAATAGTGAAAATGCAGCGAGGAACTTTTGCCGTTCAAAACACAAAGGCGGAAACAATATGGCCGCGTGATGAACTAGCAGAAACGTTTTTCAAAAAGAGAATGTCGCGCGCAAATTAAATTGAATTTATTTTAAATGTTTAAATATGGAATGCGTTCGGTTTTCCGCTCCCCAGCGTTGTGAAACGAACACTAAAGAAAGATTATCTTTTCATACGAAGAGCGAGCGCGCGAAGGCGATAGTCAAGTACTGGCATTGCCTATGAGAGGTTTCGTACCTCCTACAGGCAGATTTTCACCGCTTGTTTAAATTGTGTATGAATGATAAAATTTAATCGTTAGTAATTGTTGTCTTTATTCTCAACGCCCAACTTCTAAAACCGGTTTTCGCTGACGAGTATTCGTGATTAACAATTACATTACATAGTTACGCATTTGTGAACTATTCTAGAATTTGTTTTCCGTTTGACTCAATTTGTTATTGCACGAGTATTTTTAACACTAAAATTATGTAGATTATTTTTTATGTCTTATTTTGCCAGCTGGAATATGATATGAACAAAGCAGCAGAGAAAAAATATTTGTATTTGATTTTATTATTACTTGGTTTACCAGTTATAGCTGTTTTGTTATCGGCTGTAATTTATTACGTTCTGTCAAAAATAACAAAGGTCGAAACATAATTATAGACAATTTTTGAAGCAAAATAAGAAATTATATAAAAATGTTTTTAAGTATATTTTTTTAAATATAATTTAAAATTATAATTTTATAAAATATAATTAATAATTTTGGTATTATTATTCTAAATTACAGTAACAAATTATTTATTTAACAACGATGACTAATATTTTTTCCTCGATATTTTTATTTCGTCAAAAAATCTTTTAATAATTATTTATAGCCACAATAATCATAATAACCCGAATTCTATCACTCAACAGGTACCAGGATGGCATGAGACGACAGGTGCTAAGATTTTGGTGCGCGACGCGTTTCTACCTATGACTGCGATCACTCGACGAGACGATAAGGTGGGGGGACGGGCGCGGTCCGACTGGCGGAGTTTAACCCCTGTCGGCTGTGCTATAGATAAATTATATTGTACTAAGCTGTGATGCGTCTGAATCTGAATGTACTTTCTGGCATTAGATTGGGCACATTAATCATGCAATATAATTTTTGGTATTAGATTAAGCTTATTTTTTAGGGACATTTTTCAGTACAGTGTTTTCGCTACATTATTATATTTCATTTTACTTTCACATGGTTTTCTATATGTAACTTTTTATTGGCAATAAGTAGTAGTTAGCACATCAAACTTTATTTTTTGTTACATAATAACACTTTTTAATTGTTGTAAGTGTATTTATTGAACTACAAAAATTAATACAGTGTTTCTTTAGCATGCGTGGCTGTCGTCTGTCTTTTCATAGACATTTTTTTTGTATGTCTGTCAGTATACTTATTAGTACTAGCTTTTGAATTATGTATAATTTTAAATTTAATAATGTGCCTGTGCCTAAAATTAGGCAGTGTTTACTTCACAGACATTTTAATATTCTGGTCATACATAATGTGGTCAATGTTTGCAGTCTTCCTTATTAAACAATGGATTATAATAGGTATAATATTAGCTAAGAGAGTAAGCTAAATACGAATAAGTTTACATCGTAGGACTTACGATGTTTTTACCTAATTAATTTGAACTACATAATCTCATTTGTGCAGGGTTCAAATTTGAGTACAGTTGCCACTATGTTGTGCCTTTACAAATAATGTAATCAAGATAATTTACAGAGTACAATCACAGTAATTCATAATGAAAATACATGATTATTAATCTAATCAACTATTTAACGATATCGTATATGAATTACAGTATACGTAACATTGATGGTCTGACAGGATTTTTATAATTTATTATAATATTATGTATAGTAAAAGAAAATGCACATTTACTTATTTAATTTTCCTCAATCGTATATTACTTAGTTTTATCAGCCACCATCAACTAGTAAATCTGTTCATAAGTGAGTACAAATAATATTATATTATGTAAAGATACAGTGAAGTAACAACTAACAATTCATTTTAAATGAAAAATAACACGCCGTGCAGGAGGCCGTATCTTTTTGTTATGGATATGCACGCGTCAATCTCGCATCTAGCTCGGCACTTTACATAGTAACTATCTGTGGCTTTATCAACTCATATTATTATGTACCTACTAACTAGCTATTTAATGTAAACCTATTTTAAGAAATCCACGTCAAAAAATATTTTCGTTTTGTCATAATATCTAAAATTTTGTGTACCCGATTTTCAATAATATGTAGAGTTACAATGAAGTAACGTTGTTTAAATATAATACACAGAATAGTTCGTTTCTTACTTGTTGTCATGAATTTATAACCGAATAGGTCGTTGTTTTGTCATGAACTCATAGTAGCTATGACTTACCATTATAATATACACGCATAATAGCTGTCTGTGTTTGTGGACGTATCTACCTGGCTTTTATAAGTAATACCATTTTAAAAAAATAACACAACGAATGGGACTTTTCATTTGACATGGTAGCTTATTAATATACTTAGTAACCGTCTGTTATTATGCTTGTCATAATACATTAAGCAGAGCTAAAATTATATTTTACAAACTTTTATTATATTTACTTTTTCCTATCCACGTGCGTGTACAAAAATTTTGTTTTTGTTTTTTCATGGATACTTAAAAATGTAATAAAATATGTAGAGTTACAGCAAGTACTTATATCACTATCACTACATAGTATAAAACAAAGTCGTTTTCCGATGTCTGTCCCTATGTATGCTTAGATCTTTTAAACTACGCAACGGAATTTTTAATAGATAGAGTAGATTAAGAGGACAGTTTATAATAATTGTATACTTAGCACCCATGCGAAGCTGGGGCGGGTTGATAATTAATTTTAAAATAAACATACTAAATAGGTCCTTAGTTTTGTCATGGATTGGATTTATATCATTGCAAGCGTCAATCTTAGTACTTAATATTATAAATGCGAAAGTAACTCTGTCTGTCTGTCTCTCTTTCACGCCTAAACCACTGAACCGATTTTGATGAAATTTGGCATAGAGATAGTTTGAGTCCCGGGAAAGGACATAGGATAGTTTTTATTTACCCAGTTTTTGAAACAGGGACGTGCGCGATAAAGTTTTTCTGTGACAGACAAAATTCTACGCGGGCGAAGCCACGGGCGGAAAACTAGTTTTAAAATAAACAAACTAAATAGGTCCTTAGTTTTGCCATTTATATTTTACATAATTGCAAGCGTCAATCTCGCTACACACAGCGCGGCTATCTGCTCCGTCTACCCGACTCGGCGCACGTCGGCCTTTATTACATTAGCGTCCGTCGAAGCCGCCATTATTACTGGTTACATTTTCGCTTTCCGAATGCTATCGGCTGATGAAATATACTAGTAATTGTGGCAGTTAGTTTTTGACACATTGAAATGTAGAGATAGAAAATGGCTTCCGACTTTCGGTTTTTTTTCAGCCGTTAAATACTTACATGGTCACAATACTTAAAGTATTTAAATAAAATCTCATTAAAGTTACCTCGCTTGATTTGTTCTGCCATCTTGAATACTAAAGACGTCACGCTGAGAGATATTGCTCGGAAAGTTTAATCTGAATATCTGCGCACGAATCCTATGGTAAATAGATTTTAAAAGATCAATATAAATATTGTGTATTAAGAGATTACGCATGGCCGGATGATTAATCTTTGTAAACCCAAACACAACAGGAAAAGTTTTGTAATTATAGCCTGACCAGGAACATAAAAACCCTGGCATAGAGGCGCTTCAATTGCATTTGATAGTGCAACACTGAGTACAGTCGTACATGTGTTAAATTAATAGGCTAAATTTATGTATCAGGATTCAGGATTACGGGCTAATTTGATATTTTCATAAATTAACGAAAAATATTATTAAAGGTAACCTGGTTTAAATAAATTAAATGAAACCATCAATCGAGCTAGTAGGATTTATTTTATTATTCATCAATAATCAAATTCAGAACTTGAATATTCAACTGCAATGTCTGCTCATGAACGCTTCAAACTCGGTACTTCTTTCCCAATTCCATAAAATTCAAAACTTAGAAAGTGACAAAAAACTTTAAAATAGGTAGTTGAAACAGACTACAGCTAATTTTCATAGTGGACTGTACTATACGATAAACATGTCAGTCAATTTGACAACCTTTGTCGGAAACATTATTCAATGAAAATATTGTCCGAACCCTTAGTATTTCTCTTCGACACATTAACACATCGTGAACCACTTTTCTTTCACCACTATAAAAATATTTTAGCAATTTAATTCACAAAATCAATTGCACACATTTAAAATAAAGTTTGTTTACACTTTGACAACAATAGACTGACATGCAAGGTGACATGTCAATGAAGTTTTCAGTTACTGTTGCCATTAAAAGAAATTAGTACCATTAGTTTTCCGCAACATGGCGAGGGTTTTTATGTTCCTGGTCAGGCTATAATAAAGTTCATTCTCTCTGGTTCAAAAATATTTGAACATGGAACAGATAAATGCATTACTTTTAATTAGTGCAGGATATGCGTTCGAATACATTTCAAAAACAGTCAGAAGAAGGAATTCAAAAAAGGTTTTTATTAAAAACTAGTTTACACGCCGCTCTCCACGTACTGGCCGCATGACTCAGCGTGCGGATAAACACGCCATTCGGAATTTAAAAACAATTGCAACAGGAAAACAAAAAAACTGCCATCAATATTGTCTATGGTTAATGGTTATCTCTACCTCGAAATTGGAATTGCCGATTTGGAACAAAATTATTAAATGGTTATTGTAATAGTCCATTAACAAATGAACATTGCAAAAGGCTGTCTAATAAATGTCAAAAATTATAATTAAAATCACATTTGGTAATAATCACGGTATTCTTTGAAAGCGTGTTATAATAATTTTGCGCGATAGTAATACATACAAGACATGTTAGAGACAATAACAAGTCCTATTTAAAAAATATTATTTTTGAGCATAAATTGGTTTCATAAAAATATAATATATTTATTATTTAGTTTATTTATATTATAATAAATAAATATAATTATTGTGACGTTGTTAGCAATTTGCAGCCAACCGGGTCATCACAGCACGCCAAACTATTTGTAGCAAAATAGATCTTATTGTAACTGCATAAGAACCCAGTTTAGTTAGGGCTCACGGTATCTGGAACGCAGTAGTCACGTTGCCGCGCTACCAGTCTGTATTAGGTATCACTCTTTATTATGTATCTCTATTTACTAAATCCTATCCTTATGATATCCTACTAGTATTATAGTATATACCATTAAAGTTGATCATAGATGGATGGATTTTAGTTACTCTCTTACGCTTAAATCACTGAGG